TTGCTCTGATGCATTGAAAGTAATTTTTTACAGTGTGTAGAAACTGAATAAATCTGTGTGGGAGGTTTGGTTGTGCAGCTGGTGGCCGAACTAAGCTCCGTGTCAACATTTCCCTCACAGTTGGGACTTGAGACAGATTTGAGTCCATCTGTGGGATTTGTGTCTGTCGGCAAGTGACGTCTGACGTGACTCCCCTGACTCTGTGTTTGTGTGTGTTTGTGTGTGTGTTAGAATACAGAAACGCAGTGGAGATGACGCAGTACGGTGTGAAAAACAACACCACTTTCCTCGAGTGTCTTCCCAAGTCTCCTCAGGCATCCATTCGCTGGCTCATTCAAAGGGACAACGACAGGAGGAAAGAGGTCAGTTTGACATTCAGAAAGGTCAAAGTCAACAGCACAGCATGTGTCATATGTAAGATTAAATACAATAAAAATCCCTACGAGATGTATCCGATTAAACTTCCTTTTGGTTGTTTGGTCAGATGGTTAAACATTAAACGTGACATGGCAATTAAATGAGCTCACCGCTTTATCTGGACTTGCCTGAGGAATTACACGGTGAACACGTAGAAGTGATACAGATCTAACTCGATAAGGACTTTTACTAATGACTGAATTCTCCGCGGGGAAAAATGTTACAAATATTTGACACCCTTTTTAACCCCTTGAAAGGCTGTGAAAGATTAAATAATGAAACATCTTTTGTGGATTTAGCTCTCAGTTCTCCGGTGTACTCAGAGTAATGGGCGTTTTATAGCCGTTTCCCATGAGAAAATAAGTTGGCATTGAAATAAATCACTTTAGTTTTATGGTGTGTAATTATGGAGACTTCTCCAATCTAATGCCTGGCTGATTATAGAGTGGTCAGTGGAAAAAAGGAATAAACTGTTGCATTTAGAATGTCAGCGACAGTTATTTGAAATAGTTAACAATCAAAACATTTCAGCTACTTTCATCACCTCCACTATTGCTGCCATTTCAACTTATTTCAGTGATTCAACAATTTCAACTGCAGATTTTCTGCAGCAACCACACATACAATTTCTACAGAGAATGCTGTGGCATTTACAATTGTAACATATAACTTACATTGAATGAAGAGAGCCCATTTTGCCTTTTCCAATCAACATCAGATGTGACAATACTGAAAGACAGGCAGGTCATATTGAATCAATAATGATAGAGACCCTTAAATCTGAGTTTAGTATTTATTCATGTTATTTTCCACGTCAGTTACAACTGTCATTAAGGTCACAAGTAAAATAAAATAGAGAATATTCCCAAATGCCGCAAGGCAAGGCAAGTTTATTTATACAGTATAGCACTTTTCAGCATGCGACAATTCAAAGTGCTTTACAAAATAAATGAAAAGACATTTTAAGAATAAATACAGTCTGTGGCATTTTATGACAGGCATTACAAAGTAAAGATAATAAAATAAACACAACATGTATAGAATACATGTTTAAATGGCATACTGTAGTGCAAATATGAACAGCTCAATTAAAAGCAGCAGCAAAAAGATATGTTTTCAGTCTCGATTTGAAAATAGTAAGAGTTTCTGCAGACGTGCATGATTCGGGCAGTTTGTTCCAGATTGTCGGGGCATAATAGCTAAACGCAGCTTTTCCATGTTTTGTTCTTACTCTCGGACCCGAGAGCAGATCCGTCCCAGAAGACATGAGACACCTTGATGGTTCATAATTATGTAGGAGATCGTTAATATACTTTGGTCCTAAACCATTTAGTGATTTAGAAACTAGCAATAGTACTTTAAAAATAAATTATTTGGCTGACAGGAAGCCAGTGTAAAGATTTCAGAACCGGACTGATGTGATCCACTCTTTTAATGTTAGTGAGGACTCGAGCAGCGTTCTGAATCAGCTGCAGCTTTCTGATAGATTTTGTCAGCCCTGTGAATACACTATTGCAGTAGTCGAGTTTACTGAAGATAAAAGCATGGACAAGCTTTTCTGAATCCTGTTGTGACATTAGTTTTTTAAACAATTTCTTGGAAATGTTTTACTTATTTATCTCATAAATGTTTTTTTTTCATTTTTCAACAAAATGTACCTCTTTAACACGACTTTAAAATGTGCTTTATAAATGGACCTTTATCTAGGAATTGTTGTACCTAAAACACCATTGTAGTCACCTGTTGTATGGCAATTTAAATAATTTTGAATATTTTCCAATTCTCTGCCGCAAACCATGTGTGTGATTATGACCTAACTGTGCCGCCCTCAGGTGAAGCTGAGTGAGCGTGTCCTCTCCACGGAGCACGGCCTCCTCATCCGCTCCGTCCAGATGTCCGACCAGGGCCTCTACTACTGCCTGACCACCGAGAACCGCTTCAAGCGCACCGTCGCCAAGATTCGCCTGCGGGTACTGAGCGAGGCAATGGTGAGCGTGCTGACGGACAAACAGCAGTCTCCCTGGGCCTGGGCCAGCATGCTGCACCCTAAGGTCCTTCTGTCTGCCTTCAGTCCGTCAGAGAGCCTGGCTGTTCAACAGTACTGCAAAGAGAGGAAGCAGCTGCAGAACCTCCAGCAGAGGCAGCAGCAGCCCCCGCCGCCTAGCCCTCTCAGGGGGGACCTGGCCAAACTGAAGCCCCTGCTGGACCGGAGGAAGAGCCGCAACCGCCGCAACCACCTCCCAGAGGTCTGACACAGCAAGGTGCACAAACTGACGCTAACACCTTTCTGTTTCCAGACCCTCACATTTTCGAACTCTCATCTCAAACTGCACTGGATGGACAGTAAAAAAAAAAACAGAGGTGGGTGTGGGGAGTTGTTATCCAGGCTTTTTTTCTTGCATGAGGTACGGTGACCAGATGGCTGTGACATACACTAATACACACGCAAAGACACCCACTATCAACTAATTTGCCGTCGCAGTCACAACAGACGGTAACGGCTCTGTTATGAGTGCCACTAATAACCTTGGGTCTAAGCTGCTATTGCTTATGATAATACACCTTGAGATGCAGCTACGGTCAATGATCTTATCATATTTTAGATATTAGAGGGGAAATTGGACTAGCTGGATATTATCTCACAATGAATTTGATATGGAGGGATTGGTAATTCGAAAAATCATGATAGTAAATAAAATAGATTGAAAAGGGACAAAGGGAGACTGCTGCATGCTTTAGAGTGAGCGCCCTCTCCAAGAGTAATATTAGTATTTTATTAGATTCTACTCACCTTTCTGTATTTACTTAAACTAGAAAAGTGTTTTCTGTTCAGGAGAAATGGCTAAAATTGCTTTGTGGCAACACATACTGTAGGGTAATAAAAAGTCCTTTAGTGAGAAAAAGTTTTTCTCATGGGTTGACTGCCTGACTGTCCACAATAGCACTGTTAACACAAGGAACAGATGGAAAGTAGACCCAATAAAAAGTGTTATATTACAGCGCTGTAAGTTAAAAAGGAATTAGTTCAAAGGCCAAATTTAACATCCAGGGTTTATGGTAGAAATAGAAGTAATATACTCAACATCATATGAAATCCTGTGAATCTATTAATCAAATGTACATGTAAGAGAATATGCCTCACCGTAATTCAGCTGCATATTTTCTTCTTCTTCTCTGGTTTCTAGTACAGAAGCATGTTTATAGAAATTCATCGGTAATGTTAATCCTCTCCTGGATTAGATATGATTAACTAACAGATACGCACATTTTTATTTTTACAGCATAGTTTACATCAACACGTAGATGCTGAAACGTGACAATATCCTTCTTTGGATTTCACATTTTCCACATTCAGCCAAGTGGACACAGAAAATAGTTAATTGACATATGTGAATAGACTTTTTTTTTCAGAATGGTAGTTAATGTAGATAGAAATTATTTGTTGCTTGTGTACAGAGTATATTTTTGTTTGTGTCCTTTTAATTTAATGTTGTGCAGATGTTTGTGAAAAAGTGTATATACTTTCAACATATTTCACCAACTATGACTGTATCTGCAAATTGCAGAGACATACGGTATTGTTTTTATCTTGAGAAAATACTCTTGTCCTTACTTTCCTCTAAACAGACATCTGCTCTGCATTTCATAAAGCTGTGTGATCAGCATCATGTCAACTCAGTATCATTTCAGTGTTATGAAACATATGTATTTCTATTTATTAATGTCATGATAGCCTGAATAAATCTGTTCCGATAAATCTCAATTTTACAAGAAAATCATGCTTTTTATTGTCAGAAAATGTTATTAATATTTTTGCTTAAAATATTAACTTTCTCTGTTACTGGCCAATACATCATCCCGCAGTTTACTTAAATGGTCCAACGTGGCCCATATGATGCTATGACAGCTTATTATGATTTCCCTTTAGAGGTACAGTCACACACAATGTGATTTGTGGACATTTGCTTTACTTGCTGAGAGTCAGATGAGAAGATTGATACCTCTCACGTCTGTATAGTAAATATGAAGTTACAATCCTTAGCTTAGCCTAGCTTAGCTTAGTTTAGCATAAAGCCTGGAAACATGTACCCTGGCTCTGTACCAAGGTAACAAAACATAGCGAGGTGTATTGATCATCTGTAAAAGTTCCCAAAAAACAAAAGAATAGATACATTTCCCAAAGTTTGAAACTACTCAGAAGCCTAAGAGGGGAGACATTGCACCACCACCAGGAAGGGATGTTTTAATCCCAATGAAACACTCCATTATAATGGACCCGACAGTAGAATGAAAGACACCCAGGAGGCTGCAGAGGGTCATTTAAAACCCATAAAAGCCAAAAGAGGCCTCCTGCTGGGCAGAAATACTGCTTTCTCACCAAACAAACCCAAGTACCATTCAAAACCACTGTAATCATCCCCCAGCACATTTTATAACTCTTTTTGATTTATGAGCCTCTTAAGGTGTAGAGGAATTTTTTCTTCAGCGTGTACAATGCAGAGGTTTGTTTCAGCAGATGTATTTTGGACCAAGACTGTTGCCGGGCAGGAACAATCCAGTAGGCATAAAGAAAACCCAATGAGAAGATCTTTGTCAGCTTTTATTCATTTTGAAGACACTATTTCAGCAAAGTATACAAACATTTGCGCAATATTAGAATCGTACAATTCTTGCCAAGGATGTCAAACAAACCCATTTCTCCTCTGTGCAGATTTATAACCTGACACTAAAGAGGATTCTCCATCTGCTCTCCCTTGGAAGATCCCTGATACAGTTAATTTTAGTGTTTGCATTTGAAATTAAACCTAGCAAAGCTCTCAAGCTTTATAAAATCACAGTATTCCCCTGGTATCAAAGGAAGTATGACATTATAAATAACACAGAAATTACAAAAAAGTGCAATTCTATATCAAAAGGTTTGATGTCCTGTAGCAGCTTAAACGCACTTTGCTCTGCAACCTGCACTCATCACACTTCTGTCCGATTCATTTACACAATCTTGCTTTGGTTTCTCCTCACCACGCAGTAGGAAATGAGACACAGCACAAAGATGGCCACCCCGGTGCCCAGCAGTGCCTTCTGTATTATGTCCAACATTTCGATACGGGTGATGAGCTCCTTCTTCAACATGTCCGCTGTCGCGTCATCCACAGAAGCAGTCTGGTTTCACAGATTGAGACAGAGAAAGTGTGACTCATTATCGTGCACCCTGAGTGAACACTCTGAACTTCATGACTGCAGGGCTTTTATCTTACCTCATTCATCCAAACAAGAGGGAATATGGTATAATCCTTGACTTTCTTAAGCACCCTGCAGATAAAGAGTTCATTAGTTGGTATTCAGAGCATGATGTCTCAAACTTTTCCTTTTGATTTTGCGTTGTTTGACAGAAATAATGTGCAAACTCCCCAAATTGGGATCAATAAAGTACCATCTTATCTTAAACAAAAAGGTTTGACATTTTGTAAAAAAGTACTGGTATCTGTGACTCTTGAGTGAATAGCAGACACACCATGTCTCATGTCTGTTAGGTAAAACGAAGCCTCAGTCAGCAGCCGGTTAGCGGTTAGCTTAGCAGTCCATGCAATGCGAAATAATTAGTTGGCACATAACCTCTGTAGAAGCAAATCTAAGTGGGTTAAATATTTAATCTATATTTCCCTGGATCAATATGTTGAAAACACCCATCTGTAAACTTAAAGTCTCATGATGTTATACTCCTTGAAACCTACGGCCTCAAAATCCGGTGCAAGACCTTGACCTTCTTGATTTTAGACATTGATATTTCTACGCTTGTTAACACCATTTATACCTTCAAACTGCATTTTCCTGCCGTGTCCCTTTCTTGTCTAATTTGAACTGTGGGATAGCCCTTACTAATCTCTTCTGATGTTTATATGGAGAACATAGGACCCTGGGAAATTGGGATGACCCCTGCCCTGATAAACTACCACTTCGTATTTTAAAAAACATTTCAATAAACTTAACAAATGCAGACTATCTTGTATCCCCTGCTCTCAGTCTTTATACTATATTAAGCTAACTGTATCTTGGATTTAGCTTCAACATTCAGACATGAGTGGTCTCAATCTTCCCATTTAACACAAGAATGGAAATAAGAGTAATCATCTTTTCTTTTAAAAGTGTAAAGAACATACGTGATGACGTTTGATGGTCCATACATCATGTTCACTTGAATTCTCTTGGCAAACCTCAAGGTGAATCCGGTGGTCTGGTGGAAATACACAACAAATAATATTAGCATTACAGTTGTTGCCGCTAAAAGTCAAAAATCCCAAAGATGAGAAACTCTTACTGGTTCCACGTCCAAGTAGGTGCCATGGTGCTTCTCGTTGGGGTTGAGGCCCTTCACGTTTTCAAGTAGGGACTTACTGCCACCAAGAAAGTGGGCCAGAGAGATATAGATAGGTCTCCCTGTTCAAATGGCAGTTAAACAGACAGTTTTTAATATCAAGCTGCTTGAGCACACTGATACAACAGTAGTAGAACGTTTTGGGATGCCTGGCCTGAACAAATGCAAACTGACCTGCTTGACAAGAGCTCATGTCAAGAACTCCAGCCAAGGTACAATTCTTGGTGATCACTTCGTTTCTGCAGAAACATTGGTTGTCTGGATTGACCTTTGGAGAGGCTAGGGTGTTTGGCTGGAGAACGTAGCGATACACTTTAATCCCTTTCAGATCCATGCTCTGCTCAAAGCCAGCTGACACAGACCTGAAGACAGACAGAACACAGACTCACCTCCTGTTCCCAGTCATATTTGGGCTCTACTATGCAACTTATTTATCTCCATGGAGAAAGGCCATGACCGTGAAAACAGAAAAAAGAGTGTCGAAAAGCTGAACGTAGGTGGCGAAAAACAAATCTCCAGGTTTATTTTGAAATCTATAAAGAAAGACTTGGCTTTTATAATTTGGAATTGAAAAATGCACGACAGTCTTTCTTCTCTGACATAATTACCAAACACAAAAACAACGCACGTGCCTTATTTGCTACTGTCGACAGACTAACTAACCCCCCAGTGTCAATAGCCTCTGAATTTCTATCCACCAGGGCCTGCAATGACTTTGCCTCCTTCTTCACTGACAAAATTCAGAAAATTAGACAAGCGGTCAGTGCCTCTGTATCAGGTACAGCAAATGTGTTGTCCCTGTGTCCAGTGCTTGAATTGGGCCGGTACTCACCGGTACGCAGTACCGGCACTTCTGATTTTTACCCATGTGTGGCAAGGTGCCGGTGCTCAGTAAAATGCCGGTACTCAGCCACCGGCCGCCGGCGGCACGTCAACAAATATGCCCAGCCGGCATGACGCATCTCATGACGCATCTCATGACGCATCTCATGACGCATCTATGACGCGCCGCAGCGATAGACTAGAGCAGAAAATACATCACATAACGTTAGCATTTAGAAAATGTTAGCGTGGCTTAATAATAGTGCGAAAAGACAGCAGTTGTCGCCGGACAAGGATTCCCTCTCTCCTTTCCTGCTGAAAGATGGTGAGTGTACTCTGGGACGAGGAGTCATTTAACCAGCCGCCTGTAGGAGTCAGGCTTTACTTTCTTTTATATCCATAAAGAAAAAGTAAATCTGTTTACAGTTGTTTCATATGGATTTTGAGAGGTATCCATAGATCTCTTAATGTTGCTCTCAAAGTGCACCAGATTGATGCTTTTAACTTCAATATTAAAAATCTTTTGCTAGATCCACTCCCCACTTATAAAAATAGCACTTTACCACTGCACCCCCTCTAATCTCAGATGCACCCTGAGTCATTTTTTTTAAGTACAGTGAGCCTTTCTAAAATATACAGTAAAGAGACAAACCCACCAGCATTATGGATATAGGCTACTATGACTTTGAGCCAAATTCTTGTTTTGGGCTGTATAAATAAATTGACTTAACAGTTGCTGATTTAGAGTACTGGCACCTTTTTTTATTCCAATTCAAGCACTGCCTGTGTCCACCTAAAATCAATTCAAACACCATGACACTCTTCCATCTGATTAATGATAAAAACCTAGAGGACATTATACAACTTCTGAAATCCTCCTCCTGCTCCCTTGATATTATTCCAACAGAATTTTTCAAAAATGTTTTTCCTTGCATGGCCTCAGGTCTACTTCACATAGTAAACACATCTCTTCACTCAGGTGTTTTTCCACAGGCCCTGAAAACTGCAGTCATTAAACCGCTCTTAAAAAAGAATAATCTAGATGCTTCAGTAATGAACAATTAAAGGCCCATATCAAACCTGCCATTTCTAGGTAAAATCATTGAAAAAGTAGTTTTTCAACAGTTGAGTAACTATGCAGATATCACTGTTAAATCATTTGATCATTGGTTTTATTCTTGAACAAACGACATATTTGGTCGTAATAATTGGGCCTGAACAATCGGCCTATTCGGTCGTATGAGTTGGAGAACTTGTTGCTTTGAATTGCCTTGTGTTGAAAGGTGCTATATAAATAAACTTGCCTTGCCTTACTTCAGTACATGACTATAGTTTGGTATTGGAAAGCTCTGACCTCTAGTGGTTTCTAGAAAGAACGTTTAAATGGTTGCCGTTCCTTAATTAGGATGTTAAATCTCCCATCGTTGACACTTACTGCCCTACTTAACGTTTGCAAAGCATAGTCAGACTGCCTCAGATGAAATAGCTCCTACAAAATGAAACTCTTTATCACCTGCAGATGTCTGATGAGAAGAAATACAGAGGCTTCTTGTCCAAAAAGGGAGGGAATGAAGAAGCATCTGAGAAAGGGGGAGAAGAAATGAGGTCAGAGAGGTGACTCATCTCTATTTAGATCTGCAGGAGTTTGTTAGAAGAACTCAACAAAGAGTAGTCTTATGGATTTTTTCTACGTAACGCACCTGTCCCGTTGATCATGTCGCAGTACTTGTCGCCCCAGAATTGTAAGACACTGTTGGACAAAATAAAATTTGTCAGACAGAACTTTAGATTTAACAGCCTGAAATATTAGAAAAAAACAGCGTTCTCATCTGGCAGAATCTGTGCAACCTTAACTTGATTTGATAAAACAACTGGATTCTCACTTCATATCTATTGAAGCTGATGAAAAGATCAAGGCCTCAAATTGTAATACTTCATTCCCAGACTCACCTTTCTCCTCGCCAACTGTCAATAAATCCAACTTTTGAGATGTCGTCCTTTCCATCAAAGACATTGTAGATGCCATCATATGTACCATTGTACTAGAGGAAAGAAAATAAGCAAATCTTATTATTTCTGAGGTGTCACTGGGTACATGTTGTAGGGCTATAATATTGGTTTACTTACAGGTGAAAATAGGCCAATGTTATCTTTCAACAAAGGGTCGTAGTAACCCCACAGCATTTCGCCAACTGTACGGTTTTGGAACAACGAGGACTTGCTTGCCTTTATCAGACTCTCCAGGACAGCATGAAGCGGTTTTGGAACCAGAGAATAGGCTCCCTGTAAATGTAATCAGAAAAATATAACCCTATATTTGAAAAGGGATCTATGATGGTGTCAATTATAAAAGCCAAAAACATGGTTCTATAACAATTTGCTTGGAAAACGGTTTCCTCAGTTGATAAGCCTATTTTATGACTGTGATACTGCTTTATGACTTGCAAACAGAAATGGAATTGCTCATGCTCATCATTTAAGCCTTATCAAAGTTTGAAGAGAAAGCACATCAGCCAAAACAAAGATTGCAATTATAAAAAAAATCATATTTTCCAGACTATCACAGCAGCATCTTTGAAACATGTTTAAATAAGCCTGAGGTCATCTGACAATACTTGCCTAAATGTGTACTATTTGTACCTTTTTTGTAATCAGATTTCAATCATAATTTAGCTAATTTTACCATTTTATTCAGGCATAGTCTTGGCTTGGAACAGATTAGCTATTTTAGTAGCTTATGTAGCTCACTCGCAGTGTAGATTTGCAAAAACTCTGGCAAAACATTGTAACCTTAACCACTCAAAGTAAATGTTTACCCCTTCACCATTTAATGAAGAGTCAGAAAATCTAACCTAACTAACTATTTATGATAAACATGGTTGGTGTCATTAGAGTAAATGCTGGAATGAGCCTTTTGCATTAGCTTCAAATGTGAAATCTGAAGGGTCGCAAAATGATTAACAGCACAGGAGATACAGAACCTATTGCATTTATGCCTTAGTAATTCTGACATTCTGGATAGTTTTCAGCCCTTTAAATAGAATATGGCACAAAAAGTAAACACGCATAATGAGTGGGTTCCAGACCAGAGCAACCCTAGACATGGCAGCTTTGCATGCTTTGGCACAGGGATAGTAACTATTAATAGAATAGCTGAGTCAAGTCAGGAATCACCACACAGTGGGGTGACACTCACGTACAGCCACGCCCAGGTTGAGGGAGGTGACTTTGTCTTCCTCTGTTCCCACTGACATGGAGGGGTCAAAGATGGCGCCCTGTGGCAGCATGAAGGAGATGGTGTGATTGGGGTTGAATGTGATGTTCTCTTTGGGAAGATATCTTGTCCTGTGGGGGAAAGGGTCTTACTCAGACATTGAATTGTGTTATACAAATGGCTATTCCTCTAAATTATATATCAGCTAAATGTGATGAAAAGCTAATTTAGGAGCTGACTTTTGTTAATAGCAGTAATAAATCAACCTTACCTGTATGTGTAAGGTCCTTTCTCCACCACCACTGGAATTGCTCCATCCTGCAAAACCTCCTGGGCATTTTGCACGTCTAACAACCAAAACTGCCTGTACACGCTAACCCCTGTACTCTCCCAGTTCTCATAAGCTTGTGTTCCAGGCTCGATAACAACCTCCTAAACCCCAAAGACAAACAGAGAGGCTATTTTTAACACACTTTCAAGTCTGCCAGCAGGCCAGCTGCCCCTTTGAAAAGAGTTAATCATCTGCTATGAAAAAGGGTCTAAACAGCCAAAGAAATGTCTTAATGTCTAATAAAATCACAGGTCCTTTGATAATGATAACATGGTACACTTCTTCACAGCTCCCTGTTTACCATTTGAAGCAGCTTTCCAAAACGCTCCCCTCTCCTTTCTCCTCATTCACCTTGATCTCCGCACACACATTCACACACTCTGTCACTCCCTATTCTCCACCCAGGGTTGAAACTGAGCACCCTACCTTCTCCACTGTCTCCTCAATGATACTCTTCCCCACTGGGATGAGGATGCCGCCCAGGATGGCCACCACCGCCCCAAACACAGCTCCAGCTATCAGCCCGCACCTCCGGTTACAGCATCCCATGGTGGTGTGCGTTTCCCTCCGTGCGTCCGTCTGTCTGCTGGCAGCCTGTTCTTCTTCTGCCTCTATCTGTGGTGTGTGCTAGTGTGTGCAGCTTGTCTTGTTTTTGTGTCCCGGCAGCAGCAGCAGTGACACAGACAGGCTGTAGCATCAGAGGAGCTGAGAGAGAAGCTGAGGCCAGGTAAAGGTACAGACACCTCTGGCAGGCGCCCAGGGACCTCCTATCACTGAAGTTATATAACGAAAAGAAGGTTCATGGTTCATTTTCCCCCACAGGAATCAGTAAGACTATCTGAGCAGGTGATAACAGCTTGACTGAGGAGAAAGGTTGAAATGTAATTAGGCACATACACATTCAAATAACGCACATTTCTGATCCTATAGAAAGACCATATTTGTTTTGTTTCTTCATGTTGCTCACCTAGTAGTATTACAAAAAAATGGACTTGCCATTACCTAATTTAATCCTATTTTTCCAGGACATATCAGTTATAGATATCCTATGACCCAGAAAAAATAGATATCCTATGACCTGGATGACGGCAACCTTCATAGAGATTTCATTCTTATCTGTCATTCTCTATCTATTCATCTCATCTCCTCTTTGCTCCAAGCTTCAACTGTACAAGAGACACAAAAGCGGGAACCTATAAATGATTAAGTATATCCTCATAGTGCAGCAACCGTTAAAGTGTGTCTTTATTTGTGGTTGTCTTAATACGGGATATAAAAATTAATGCAATTTAATCTCTTCTTTAGACATTTGAGACACACTTATCTTGATTTATTGTGATTTACCTGCATTTCTATCACATGAGCTCTTGGAACCGAGTCAGCGACGCAATAACATTAGTTGTACACATAATGATTGATTGATACAATATTTTTTCAAACCCTCTGCCAAAAGTTCAAGAAACGAAACAGACTATCCCACTGTCTGCTGTTTATCAAAACAAGACAAGGGGACAACATGTTCACAATCTGTGCAGCAGAACGGTTCAATCGTTGTTCAATTCCTATGGGTCATGGGCAAAAATGTGGCATCCTACACTATAGAACTGAACTGTGACCTTACCTCACATCCTCACACTCTTAATGCACGTGTCAAAACCTGCATTCCCTATGTAATGAATACATTTCGGGAACCATGATAACCTTGATAACATCACAATGGCACTATGATAGAGGGCATTATACAACTGCTTTTACAGGCTGTACTGTGCAGTGCTGGAACTACATAGTTACATATGAATGGAGATCGAATAAATGCACCTGTTTTGAGGTAAATTTACTGAGGAGAAAATATGTAATTAATTCAAGTTACTTACCAAAAGGTTGGCGATTAAAGGGGTTAGGCTATATCTGTATGTTTTAATTTTTTCGGAAAAGAAAACCAAAAGCCTAAATGCAGTTTACAATATTGATTGTATAGTCTTGTTCCAGTAAAAACACAGAAACATTTAATAGAAAATAATTATATTTGACAGTTATCATGGTTGGTTAAAGGTGGGGTAGGTAAGTTTGAGAAACCGGCTCGAGATACACTTTTTGTTATATTCCATGGAATGCTCTTAACATCCCGATGGCAATGAATATCTTAAGTGCTTTGACAAAAAATCCTTAAAAAATGCTATCTGTGGAAGCCGTAGTACTGTAAAAAGCACGACCAATCATTTTAGCCGGGCCGGCTAAAATAACTGGATGGCCCACCTGCCTGTCAGCCTTCCATCTGTGCACAAACTTATCTTGCGCTCCCTCATTGGTCATGTGCGCAATCGTGGGTTGGAGGAGGGATTCTGTAAGGAAGTGGCAGATTTTTTCCGGTTGTGTATTTTCAAATTCTAGCGCACTCGAGCTGGTTTCTCCAAAATTACCTACCCCACCTTTATGTTTATGTTTCATAAACTGCTCAAATATGTTGCCTATAGTTTAGATCAATTGTAAGAGAAGTATTTAAATGTAATATTTACTTTGTTGACATCATTCAAATTTTTACATGACCTATGTTAAACATAGTATAGCTTGTAATCTGTTAGCGTTTAAGATAACCTTGTCTATGTGACGAGTGCAAAATCAGTGGAGTGGCCCTTAAAAATTATGTAAATGTAAACGACACTGTTTGACGCTGTACTGTAGGGTTGAAGATACCGTATATCCAGCTCATATATTCTGCTCTGCAGTGTAACAGAAAGGTTTTTTAATCATTCACTTTAATAATATCATTGTGTGATTCTTACTTGCTAAAGTTATTGTATATTTACTGGCTTTCTTTAACTGGCTTTGCTAAGCTTGGGAAATATCCTTATTAAGAAGATGTGTTACAATTTTGTTAGTCAGAGGTGGGAAGTAACTAAGTTCATTTACTGAAGTCATGCTTTTCCGGTTATTACCCGTCCCCTTCTGTGTTATGAAGGTTTTTATGCATGTAAACGGTGTGCAGAGTCAAAATCCTCAAAGTACACCCTGTAGCGAGTAACGCTCTAACACAGAAAATACCTCCCCAAACCCAAAACGCCTCGTCATTGTCCATTGTTTACTTCCTGGGTATTGTGACGTAGGAATGGCCAATAGCCCAGAGCTATGACGCGATACGGTCATGCGTTACCCAGAACCAAATGGACCAATCCGTGGAGCCGTTACGTTACGTCCGCGGAGCCGTTACGTTAAGCCCCCGCTGATTGGTCCAAATTGACCAATCCATGGACTTCCTCACACACACACAGTGCAGGCAGCTCTGCTGATTTCTCCTCCCTGGCTGCAGGCTGATAACAGACAGTTGGGATCGCGGCGAAATTCTCTCTGCAGACCCATTCTCACAGCGTTTATCAACCTTTTTCTTACTCAATATCAAGCAACACTTATTGTTTTTACTTAGGCTGTGACTTTGTGTGTGCTCAGGATGAGTTTGGCTGTGTTTCGATGTGTATCGCTAAACAAGGAAACCACACCTCCACGGAGCTCAGCGCGATTCACAACGTCCCGACCAATCAGAGCACACTGTGCTCACAGGGAGGGTGGGGGCTGGAG